CAGTGCCGAGCAGAGGGGGAGAATGACCTCCCTCCACCTACTGGCCACACTCTTCCCTACGCAGCCCGGGATCCCATCGGCCCTTTTGGCCACCAGGGCACACTGGTGGCTCATGGACCATTTACTATCTACCAGAACCCCCAGATCCTTCTCCTCAGAGCTACTTCCCAGCAAGTCCACCTCTAACCTGTACTGGTGCCCAGCGTTCTTCCTCCCCGGGTACAGGACCCTGCGCTTGCTCTTGTTGACCCTCATGAGGTTCCTCTCTGCCCAGCTCTCCAGCCTGGACGGCAGCGCGACCCTCTGGAGCATCACCCACTCCTCCCAGTTTGGGTACCATCGGCGAACTTGCCGAGGATCCGCTCTGTCCCCTCCTCCAGGTCATTGATGCAAAAGGAGATGGGCGTTTTTCGGTTTGCAGCGCCGCAAAGGTGTTGCGGAAGTCCTGGAGAGGTGGTAGAGAATGGAGGGGGGTGGGGGTGGGGTGACAGGGACAAACGGGACGGAGGTGACTTCCTCGCTCGGCGCCGCGTCCGCCCGCGCGTCACGGGGTTGGAGGGACGCAGCTCTTCACCCCGACGGCTCCGTCCCTCTTTTATTTCTCCTCCAAAGGAAGCGTCGTTTCTTGGCGACGCGCAGAAACCTCCGACAATTCAAGGACGTCGCGGGACTCGCCGTTGTGGCTTCTCGAGTCGTGAAACGCTCCGGATTAAAATACGATCGCTCCGAAGCGCCGCAAGTCGGACTTCGAAACCGCGGCGTCTTAACGCAGCCGCGGGTTTCCCCCGCGCCACTGTCGTTGCCGCCGAAGAATTATTAAGCGGAGAGCTCGGCTAATTTACATGAATGACTTCCTACCGCCGGATTAACTCATTTTGCAAATTAGGGAGGAAATCAAAGGAGATAAAAATCGAGGGGACTGCGTTACGAAAACCCACTTTGTTCCTTTGCGCGGCGGCTTCGTTATCTTTCATCTGTCTGGAGGAGAAGCGGGGTGGTGTGTTTCGGGGAGAGGGGCGAGCGCTGGCGAGCCTTTGACCGCCCGGAAAAAATAAAATAGAGGAGGAGGAGGAAATGAGGAAAACTGGAGTCGGGAGCTGGAAAAGTTGGATTTTGGGGTTGATTTTTTTTTCAGGCGCGTGCCTGTCTTCCGTCATCCGCCGGAATGCGCCGAGAGGTTCAGGGCTGGGGTTTGCTGCCCTTTCTTTTTTCTTTTTTTTTTTTTTTTTTTTTTTTTTTTTTTCCCCCCTTTAAACATCTTCTTGCCTCTTTTCCTTGCGCCTAAAAGCCGGCGGCGGTT